TATATCTGATGGTTGCTCTGTAGAGCCAATAAAAAACTCTTAATTTTCTGCTTAATCCATTTTCAATAGCAGATGGTTTTTCTATACTCGTATTCCCTTGCCCATCATTTTTGATCCTACTAAATAATTTTACTTTTTTAGTACTGTTCATAACACAGGAAATTCTTTCTGTTGTTACAGATTTTATCAACCTGTTTGCTTTCTTGATCCTCCAAAAACCCTTTGAGAAAGACAGTTAAACCATCACTAGTCAATGTTTTCCTCATCATAATCCTTCTAAGAAAAAAGAGCTTAGAATGGGACTTCCCTGGTGATCCAGTGGCTAAGACTCCATGCTCTCAATGTAGGGGGCCGAAGTTCAATCCGTGGTCGAGGAACTAGATCCCACATGCCCCAACTAAGAGTCTGCATGCCTTAACGAAAAAAAAAAAGAAGATATACTGAAAACTGAAGATCCTGTATACCACAACCAAGAACCAGTGCAGCCAAATAAACATTTTAAAAAAGACGAGCTTCCTGGAGGAAAAAAAAAAAAGGCAGGAAACAGTAAGGGTTATTACAGTATTATAAGACAATGGACTATGATAGGAAAAACAATTAAGAACTTCAAGAAAAATAAACAAGCTCTAAAAAGAGATATAGTATACTACTTGACTTTTTAGTGGGAAAAAAATGTAACCTGTATGAGAAGATACAGTCATAACAAGGTAACATTTGGGCATGGGGGAAGGAAGTGAGATAGTGTGAAAGAATATAGTAAACAGATGATGTATAAAGTTGTGAGAATGAGAAATAGAAGTACAGAAAGAGAGACTCTTCTAAATTAAAGGACATTAAAGATCATTGCATGTTCTTAGACAAGCCAGTTACAACAGAAGCCATTTGAAATATATATATACTTGTGACCAACCTGGATAGCATATTAAAAAGCATTACTTTGCCAACAAAGGTCTGTCTAGTCAAGGCTATGGTTTTTCCAGTGGTCATGTATGGATGTGAGAGTTGGACTGTGAAGGAAGCTGAGTGCCGAAGAATTGATGCTTTTGAACTGTGGTGTTGGAGACGACTCTTGAGAGTCCCTTGGACTGCAAGAAGATCCAACCAGTCCATCCTGAAGGAGATCAGTCCTGGGTGTTCATTGGAAGGACTGATGCTGAAGCTGAAGCTCCAATACTTTGGCCACCTCATGCAAAGAGTTGACTCATTGGAAAAGACCCTGATGCTGGGAGTGGTTGGGGGCAGGAGGAGAAGGGGACGACAGAGGATGAGATGACTGGATGGCATCACCAACTCGATGGATATGAGTTTGAGTAAACTCCGGGAGTTGGTGATGGACAGGAGGCCTGGCGTGCTGCGATTCATGGGGTCGCAAAGAGTTGGACACGACTGAGTGACTGAACTGAACTGAACTGATGGCTGATTCATGTTGTTATACAGCAGAAACCAACACAATATGGTTAAGCAGTTATTCTCCAATTTAAAAAAAAAAAAACATTTGAACAACTGGGGAAATTGTCCTGGGAAACCTAGTGAATGTGTACTAAGTTTATATGATATTAAGAAATTTGGGGAACTTCCCTTACAGTCAGTGGTTAAGACCCCAGCTTCCATTACAGGGGGCATGGGTTAGATCCCTGGTCGGGGAGCTAAGTTCCTGCATGCTGTCTGGTGCAACAAAAAAGTAAAAGAAAAAAGAAAAGAAATTATTGTCAAATACAGAAATGTGGTATACATACACAATGGAATTTTATTAAGCCATTAAAAAAAAATCCAAGGAAATCCTGTCATTTTCAACAACATGAATGGACCTTGAAGGCATTATGCTAAGTGAAATAAGTCAGACAGAGAAAAACAAATTCTGTGTTGTCTTACCCATATGTGGAATCTAAAACATAATAAAACCAAACAGAAACCAAACTCACAGGAAAAAAGATCAGATTTGTGGTTACCAGAGGCAGGGAATGGGAGCTGGTCATAGGTACAGATTTTCAGCTATAATAAAAACAAATACTACAGATGTAATGTATAACATGATAACTAGTTAACACTACTTAGTAATACAGGTAAAAGTTATTAAAAGAGTAAACCGTAAGATATGGCAGAAACCAACACAATATTATAAAGCAGTTATACTCCAATTAAAAATAAATCGATAAAAAAAAGAGTAAACCCTAAGAATTCTTATCACAAAGAAAAAACGTTTTTGCCCCTTTTGCTTTTTCTTTGTGTTGTATCTACCTGAGAGGATAGATGCTGACTAAACATTGCAGTAATCATTTCACAGTATATCTAAGTCAGAGCATCATGCTGTACCCTTAAACTAACATAGTGAAGTATGTCAGTTATATCTCTATACAACTAGGAGAAAGTGAAAAAAAATAAAGTGAAATGTATTGTTCTCAGTTTTGTGTGTCGTCGTTGTTGCTGAGTTGTATCCGACTCTTGTGACACCATGAACTGCAGCATGCCAGGCTTTCCTGTCCTTCTCTATCTCCCAAAGTTTGATCAAACTCATGCCCATTGAGTTGATGATACCATCCAACCATTTCATCCCCTTTCGCCCCCTTATCCTCCTGCCTTCAATCTTTCCCAGCATTGGGGTCTTTTCCAATGAGTTGGCTCTTTGCATCAGGTGGCCAAAGTATTGGAGCTTCAACTTCAGCATCAATCCTTCTAAAGAATATACAGGGTTGATTTCCTTTAGGATTGACTGGTTTGATCTCCATGCTGTCCAAGGTACTTTCAGGAGTCTTCACCAGTACCACATTTCAAAGGCATCAGTTCTTTGGCACTCAGTCTTCTTTATGGTCCAGCTCTCATATCCATACATGACTACTGGCAAAACCACTGTTTTTGTTAGATGAACTAATAGTTTTTGTTAGATGACCTAATATTTTGGATACGCATAGTATAAAATGCCATAACTTTAATATAAACATATAAGCATTTTGAAATACTTCTACCAGTTAGAAACACATCAATATCTAGGAAACTTTTAGACTTTTCTATTTTATTTTAAACATGTGTATGCATTACCTTGATTTTAAAATGTGTTTAATTAATTTTCACACTGTATCTCTGGATTTGTGCCTCTCCGAATTCTAATTCCCAGCTATCACTATATCTTGTAGTTGAAGCTAATCTCCTCAAGAATGACTCTTGTTTTGCAAGGCCCTGAACTTTCAAAAAACAGATTTAATTATGTTCAGTGCACTTCATTTAATTGGGCAAGAATGCAGACTAACAGTTTTAAAAGGTTTTTCATTGTAAGATTGAAACAAAAATAGATTGTGGATTAGGACGTTAAATTAACCAAGTATTCTTCCAGTGTTCTGGTTGGCTAATAGGCCTCAATCAAACTAAAAATGCACATCCTAACTAGTTGTGATGGATTGATGGTTAATAATATAGCAAACGCATTGAGAATACTAAGGGGACTTCTCCATCAGTGTGATCCATGGGGTATATTGTGGGCATGACCTATTTTTAAAACAGACAAAATAATGTTATATTTTAATCATAAAATTAAGATTCTTTCGTGAATTTAATGAATAAAAATACTATACTTGAGAGAAAAACACTTCCAGAAAGATATTCCACCTAAGAATGCAGTTGACACATAAGGTAGTCTAGTACAGATTTAACAGAGTGGTTGGTTGGTTCACATTTTCATCATTTAGATCTCTTTTGCATGAGAGATAAGTAACATAACCAAAGTGTATGGTTTGACAGAATTTTTAAAGTAGTGTATGAATCATAGGGATAAATGGAAAGTTATCTAAAGAAAGACATTACATTGAGGAGAATATCCAAACCTTTTTTTTTTCAAACGGGAATAGCATGTTAACACAGTGGTATTTTAATTTGATGGGGCAATATTGACATGTGACTACAAATCCACTTATTGGTTAATTTTGTCTTTAATAGTGTAATTAGTTATTGTTCCTTCATTCACAAATAACTACTGAGCATCTCTTTGCAGTATTTGTACTCGTGGCTGAGACTACGGAAGTAAGCATGAGAACTGTGATTCCCTCCATTTCTTGCAGAGTTTATAGTCTAGTGGGGGGAATAGGTATCATTCAAGAAGTTAAAATGAAATATAATCTGTGTTCCTAGGGGAAAAGCAGAGGGAAGCCTTGAAAGCACAGATTAAGGAGTGTAACTACATCACTAAAAATATAAACCAAGCACCTCCCCTTCCTTGGGGTTGAAAATCCAAGAGTAAATACCAGATCCCTGGTGATTGTGGTGGCTACCCTGGTGTAGGGGTTTCCCCACTGAATATAGGATCCTTCTGCCCAGGGCTGTCTCCGTTAACAATGCTGTCTATCTGGGAAGTTTGGTGAGTTTTGTATCCCAAGGGCTCAGGGAGGTCACTTGCCAGAATTATGGTGGTGGGATGACATTATGGATAATTCTTCAGACAGGTAAAGGATCTAAAATCAGCCTGCTTCCCTGGTAGCTCAGCTGGTGAATCTGCCTGCAATGCAGGAGATCCTGGTTCGATTCCTGGATGGGGAAGATCCCCTGGAGAAGGGATAGGCTACCTATTCCAGTATTCTTGGGCTTCCCTGATGGCTCAGATAGTAAAGAATCTGCCTGCAATGAGGAAGACCTGGGTTCGATCCCTGGGTTGGGAAGATCCCCTGGAGGAGGGCATGGCAACCCACTCCAGTATTTTTGCCTGGAGAATCCCCATGGACAGAGGAGCCTGGTGGACTACAGTCCATGAGGTCGCAAAGAGTCGGACACGACTGAGTGACTAAGCACTGCTCAACGCTAACCTGAATATAGACACCAATTTTGCAGCATCCATGATTCCAGAAAAACTGGAAAAGTAAATCTGGAAGTCCTGGATTGTCTCCAAGCATTTGAGTTAGATGGATGGTGGAGGACCAGCTAAGCTAACTGTGAAATTCTAACTCCAAGTAAAATATGTGTTTATCTTATGAGCAGATTTGCATCATATTCTAAATAGTTTTTTTTTTTAATTTCAGAATGTCCTCATTGTTGAGGTAAGTTGACTTTTCTTTATCCATACTTGGAAGTTGAAAGACTCTAATGGTGAGTTTTGAAGTATAGAACTTGTTATCAAATTGACAAAGATTTATTGAATTCCCACTGTGTGCAGACTTCTCCAAATTTACAGAATAGGAGTCAACTAGAATCTGGCTTCAAATAACTTAGAATGGAAACTTTGCAATAATAGTTGTTTGGTATTTTATCCTTTTGTATCTAATGCCGCCCATGTCTAAATTGGTTCTTAGATCTATTTGTGAATCAGACATTTTCAAAGAAGAGAAAATTAGCCCACAGAACCAAAATTTTTTAATAGAAAAACCAAGGTTAGACCTCTCCTCACCCTTAATTCCGTATTCTTGCTAGTGACCTCTGATGACTCGAAACAAGTCTCCCTTCAGCATTTAATCATAAATAGAATCAGTATAAAAATTTGCTATCCAGGGGAAAGCTATAATTTAATTCGTTTTCCTGTTGTTTTTTTTTTATTAAAAAAAAAAGAAGAAAAGAGAAAGAAACAACGGGTCCTTTAGCCCAGCAGGCCTGTCTTATCAGCTGGCGAAAATTCAGGGGAGCTGTTTTTGTCGCGCTTTTGTTCCAGCCGCCTGGGTGTGCCATATGTATGTGCCGTTCTGACTCAGACATAACCCTTGAAGTAGACCCTCCAGCGAAAGGCACTGCCTGACCCTGGCTAAATTCAGACCTGTTGTTTTGATAATCAGCTCCCGACAGCTGATTTCTGTCCCACGGACAATCAATTTCGCCTGCCCATTCTGCTCTAATTGTGCAGCAGCTCGTCAGCCAGGGTGAGCCTCTGCTCACGGCAGCCTCGTGCCCTCAGAGCTCGCAGGCTGTCACCAGCTGCTGTCCACATACATCTCACTTCCCAGCCATCGAATCTCCTATTAAGTGGGGAGGGCACGTGAAGGGGGAGAGGGGGAAGCATTTATCTGTCCATTCAGCATATTCAGATGTGCATCCCATGGCCATGAAAATTCATGCGCCCCGTGTTGTGTTACATTACCTCAGGGCCAAATTTAGTCCTTGAATGCGCATGCACGAGTCCAAATGCACTTGATAGAGAGCCCCACATGCTCTCCAAATGCTGAATGTAGCCTTTTGACACAGCTCAAGGATTCTAGGAGGAAACAGTCACCAACATATTCCCCCCAAACCCAGCTTCCAGAAAGATGCACCTGTCTAAAAAATAAAACCAGCTCTGCCTCCTACTTGGACTCCTAACTTGATGGCAATTCTAATTATGATGCATTATTAGTAAGGACTAGACTCATCTGTCTGGATGAAAAGCCTTTTAACGCAGCCCAAAGGCATCTGGTTGAATTTGTCTGTCCTCTTTTCTAAGGATGTTGTTGGAACTGGGAGAACCATGAAAGCCTTGCTCAGTAGCATAGAGAAGTACAAGCCCAACATGATCAAGGTAGCCAGGTGAGTGCTATGTTCACATCATCACTGCTTCTGTCTTTCCAAATCTGCCCAAGAGGGATGCTAACACAGGATGCTGGTTCCAAAGAATGTAGTCCATTCCAAACCACTAACCCTTTGCCCTGGGGCATTAGGGTTTGACCACACTGAACAAACAACCCATTTGACAGCTAGCCTGAGAGAGAGGAAGGGGGAGAGGACTTGCTTTGCTGTGTATCTGAGCCCCTTTCAGATGCCTCTGTTAGCCGTTTTCAGGAGCAGCTGGCCGAGCCCCAGTGCCCACGCCCCTCTCCCTCCCTTTTATCCAGAATCTCACTGATAAGGAGCCATAGGGAATTCGAGGGCTGTCCTGATGCCCCACATGCTTGAGGGGGAAAAAGAAAAAAGCACGTTTCAAATATATATTTTAATGATGTTCAATTCTATTTGTAATTCACAAACATTTTATCTGGATCACTGTAACATTTTTTTTTTCTTTTAATGGTAGTTTGTTGGTGAAGAGAACACCTAGAAGTGATGGCTTTAGACCTGACTGTAAGTGTTTGGCGGTGGGGCGGTGGGTTGTCGGTTGTTTATTGGCTAGTGGTGGTTTTGTGTTTAAGACTCTTTCGTTTCCTAGTTGTCAGCATTCTATGTGAAACGGAAGCTATAAAAGATTTGATGGTCCCATAAATGCTGTGTCTCCAGCAACAGAACCGTCTACAACCAGGGGTTTTCATTTTCTAATTACACCTTTCCCAGGAACTCTGTTTTGTACATTGGATGTTTTTATTTTTAGGTTTTCTAAACTCTTTGCACCTTCACTCCTAAGAACTCAGCTAAAATGGGGTTCGGGGGTTGGAGGGAGATGTGACTCCCCACCCCTGGACTGACTTGGATGCACGGGATTCCTGCCTTGGCCTCTGTTCTCACCCGTCTATCCTCTCTGTGTCTCCATTGGATGCAGAGAAGCACTGGGAAGGTTGAGCGGTTCTGCCATCTCCAGGAACTGTGAGCAGAGAATGCACAGTGCTGACCTTCAGCAAGTTGGAATTTTAGCACACAAAGGGAAATCTGAGACTCTGCCCCACCACCTCCAAACACAAGTATAACCACACAGAGAATTAGAGCAAATGTCTCTAGATACCATCTTCACACTTCAGTTCAGACATGTGTTCTCAAGGAGTTTTCTCATCTAAAGCAGTTTCCTCCATCCTCCCCAGGATACGAATAGTTGTAGTGCCAGAAACGATAAACAAGCTGCTTGATTATTTATTATTCTAACACTAGAGGCGGTTTTTTTTTCACTTGCATGGGCAGACTTCAGCTGGATTTTTATAACTTACATTTGCACTCAAACCTCTAGGATAATTTGGCTACAGTTCTCATCAGCAAGCTGAACAAACATTAGCGCGAGAAGCATGCTATGGATGGGTAATGTGCCAATGACATTGAACCAGTGATTCTTTATTATGAAAACAAGTTGCATTCCTGGGTGGATGTCTTAAATCTAGACAATGTTAGCTCTAGCCAGATAGACCTAATAACATGTTCCTATCTAGTTATTGGTTTGGGGAATATAATCTGAACATAGTTAGGGTCAGACAAGGTTAATAAACAGAAATCTTCTAAGGAAATAATCTAAAATACTGTATAGAGGAAATTTCAACTGAAGTTGAAAGACAAGCACTTTAGACATATCCAGCTAGTTACAAATTTCTTGTGTCACAGCAACAGTATTAATAAAATAATAGCACTAGTAAGAGATTTTTTTTTAATTAAAAAATCGAAGTGTAATTGATTTACAATGTCATGTTAATTTCCGGGTGTGCAGCACAGTGCTTCAGTTATACATATATATTTGGATACACGCATGCATGCTCGGTCATGTCCAACTCTTTGCCACCCCATGGACTGTAGCCCGCGAAGCTCCTCTGTCCATGGGAGGCTCATCTGTCTATGGGATTTCCCAGGCAAGAATACTGGAGTGGGTTGCCTACTCCAGGAAATCTTCCAGACTCAGGGTTCAAACCCACCTCTCCTGTGTTAACAAGCGGATTCTACCACTGAGCTACCTGGGAAGCCCATTTGTATACATATATATTCTGTTTTAGATGCTTGTCCCTTATAGGTTGTTACAAAATAATGAGCATAGTTCCCTGTGCTATACAGTAGGTCCTTATATATGGAATCTAAAAAATAAGTTGCAGATGAATTTATTTACACAATGGAAGAAGACTGATAGACATAGAGAGAAATTTTGGTGTGTCTGACTCTGTTTTAAGACCTTCAAAGAGATGAACATGTTTAATCCTCACAGCTTTCCTCTAAAGTAGGTGCTATTGCTGTGCCCATTTTACAGATGATGAAACTGAACACAGCCAGGTTAAAGAGCTTGCTGGGTCACAAAGCTGTAAGTGTACAGTCACTGTTGAGCCCAGGCAATCTGATTACTATCATGGCTGTTACTCTTATGCTCCATCTGTAAGTAGCATCTGCAATTGCAAATATAAGGGTAGGAACTGCACTCACTTACCGGCTAGAGACCAGTCAGCTCTTTCCTGGCTGTTCTCCTGACCTGCTGGTCCAAGGTTCTTTTACTCCATGACAGCTTTGAAGGTTTGACCTTTTGAACAGACTTTTCCCCAGTCTGAGCTGCCCATGCCCATTGTAGAGATTGCGTTACTCACTGTAAAGTCGTCATTATCTTAACAACCAGGGGTTCCTGGGATTTGCTAATATTCTTTTAGCTAACTCAGAATCTTTGTTTTTTGCCTTTCTCCCCGGATTTCTGAGGCTTTGTACTTTTTGGTCCTTTTTCATAGTTGACTTTTTCCTCTATGCTCAATGACACTTGTATCTTCTGACACCTTTTCTTCTGCTCTGCTTCTCCTCTTTGATTATTTTTCTCAAGAAACCTACAGTTTGGAGGGATCAAACAGGCTTTCTAACAGTGACACAATGCAGTCCTTAGAAAAACAAGTCCCTCCCCTCTAGCACTTTCTGCGGGCAGGAGCCAGTTGGTTTCTTCATGTGAAAGCATCCTTGATCAGAAGGACCAACGAGGAGGTGAGTAGTCAACCACGGCGGTAACTTCCTCTGTGCTGTAAGTCCACTGGCTATGCCAAAGTACTGTTTTGTAAAAATAAGCAAGTACATCTCTCATTTGCAATACTGTAATAAACTAACAGAAGATTCCCCAACGTTGGAAAGAATTTGAAAAATCATTGGGCTATAGGAACATTTATTCAGTTTTAAAACCTGAGGAAGAAGAGCTATTTCATGCTCCTTAAGAATCCTTTTCAAGGACTTCCCTCATGGTCTAGTGATTAAGACTTTGCCAGGGTAGATCCCAGGGTGGGAATCTGAGATCCCACATGCCTCACGGGCAAAAAAACAAAACATAAAATAGAAGCAATACTGAAACAAATTCAATAAAGACTTTTTAAATGGTCCACATTAAAAAATCTTTTAAAAAATTCCTTTTCAATAAAAATCATCTTTCAATATATTCATTTTTTTACTTAACCTGAGTATCTTAACAGGCTGTGGCTCAGTGGAAAAGAATCTTCCTGCAAATGCAGGGGATGTGGGTTCGATCCCTGGGTTGGCAAGATCCCTTGGAGAAGGAAATGGCAAACCCACTCCAGTATTCTTGCCTGGAAAATTCCATGGACAGAGGAGCCTGACAGGCTACAGTGCACGGGATCCCAAGGAATCGGATATGCCTGAGCGACTGAGCGCACATGCACACTCTCATCCTGACCTCAGTGGAGACAGAGTTAATTGCTGTCATCTGCATTGTGGAGTCAAAGGCTAGCATTAGAGTCACCCTTAGCCTTGTCTTCCTCAAGCTGAACAGTCTCATCTCCTTTCACCTTGTCTCTCAGGTTTTGCGTTCTAGCCCTTTATCCAGCCGAGGACACTGAGTTCAGTGGGAGGATGGCTTCCTATTCACATATTACAGCATTGGGATACCTTCTGATTGAACTGCGCTTCATGCTTTTTGCAGTGTTTCCTTTGGCATGATATCATTGGATACTGCTTGCTTTGAAAAAACAGCACTATATGCCTGACTCAGACGTACTTCTTGTTATCCGTGGGGCTTCCTGACCCCTTTCTCAGCTTTGTCTACAAGGACTGCAGTCATTTTTCACTGTCTGTTTATTGGTTTGTCCTGTCTCCCTGAGTAGTCACTCTGACCCGGGTCCTACTGGGTTCCTCTTATGCGTCGTTTGCCACTTTTCTCACTTCTTTCTGCCTAATGGAAGGTCCTCACATGTTAAGTGCCAACAGCAGCTTATGGTGACTTTATATTTATGTTATTTAAATTGTTTCCTTTTTTTTTCCCTCCCTCTCTCTGTTCAGATGCTGGATTTGAGATTCCAAACTTATTTGTGGTGGGTTATGCCTTAGATTACAATGAATACTTCAGAGATCTAAATGTAAGTCTTGCATGCAAATGCCTAGCCCCGTTTTCACAAGAACATTGCAATGATAGCAATTTAGCAGATTTTTAAAATAGCCACAATGATGACTGCCATTTATTGAGTGTCTTCTGTGTCAGGAATGTTTTGGGCACTTGGCATTCTTAGTCTCAGTGAATTCCCACCACTGCCCAGCAAGGTTGGTATTAGGATGATGGAAGCAGTTATGATTGCTCTATTTTGTACGAAGGAAATAAGCAGAAAGACAGCTTGCTGCTGAGTTTTCTCCATCGTCATCAACTGTGTCTCCATCGACCATACTAATAGTCAATACTCAATAAGCTGTTTAGTGTCAGTGCTTGAGATCTAGAAGTTTCCAGTTACAGTGGCTTGTAGCTCATAACTCTTTCCCCTTGGGAGAAATGGCTATAGACCTGGACCCTCAGGTGTGTGACCCTGACCACTGCTGAATGATCTGGAGGTAAAACATCGAACCCAAAGTGGACCAGTCCGTCTCTCTCCCCTGGGATTTAGAAACTTAAACCAAGAGCCACAGAGACCAAGAGGTTTGGGGTTTAGGCCTGGGCTGCTTTCTGGAGCCTGTTCCTGGCTTCCACTTGCTGCACTACTCTGCTCTTCCTCTGCCTTTGCGAGCTACCCCAGTCTCCTACCAGTAACAGCCCCCCCGCACCCGCCTCCGCTTTGCTTACATTAACCCAACGCAATTTCTGTTGCTTGCCATGAAAATACTTCTGACACATTTCTGGCTACCCAAAAAGGATCAAAGGAGAGTCGGTATTTGTGTTTACTACAACTGTTTCTCTCTGCACTGTAGAAGCTGTAACTTTACCAGTAGGACACGTCTATCTCCAGCACTACCTATATTCCACAACCCTCAGCGTCTATCTTGTTTCAGACCTACAAAGCCAGATTCAGAAAAGAGCTCAAAACTCAAACAGTGAAGAAATTTTTGTCTTTAGTGTAGTGGTCTCTTTAGATTTTACAGATACCTGTATGTGTACATATATGTGTATGTGCATATACATAATATGTATGTGTTATGTATATGCATAATACATACACATATAACTACATACACATATAAATAAATACATATTGGGTTGGCCAAAAAGTTTGTTCATCTTTTTCCATAAGGTGGCCCTAGTAGCGCTTGGTTGTCTTCATTCAAAGCAATTTTGTTAAATTGTATTGTGACAGCTGTCATATCAGTGTGCATCTTTTTCTAAAAAATCAAAATTAGTGAATTTTTGTGTAGCCGTTTTAATATTGAAGATGGAAGAAAAAAGCAACATTGTCAACATGTTATGTTTTATTACTTCAAGAAAGGTAAAGACACAACCGAAACGCAAAAAAAAGACTTGTGCAGTATATGGAGAAGGTACTGTGACTGATGAAATGTGTCTAGCTCTGTTTGCAAAGTTTCGTGCTAGAGATTTCTTGCTGGACAATGCTCCATGGTCAGGTAGACCAGTTGAAGTTGATAGCGATCAAATCAAGACATTAATTGAGAATAATCAATGTTATACCATGTGGGAGATAGCCAACATACTCAAAATATCCAAATCAAGTGTTGAAAACCATTTGTACCAGCTTGGTTATGCTAATCACTTTGGTGTTTGGGTTCCACATAAGTTTAGTAAAACAAAAAACCTTGATCATATGTGCACATGTGTTTCTCTATTGAAACATAATGAAAACGTTGTCTTTAAAACAAATTTTGATGGGTGATGAAAAGTGGATACTGTACAATAATGTGGAATGGAAGTGATTTTGGGTCAACCAAAGTGAATCATCACCAACCACACCAAATGCCAGTCTTCACCCAAAGAAGGTGATGTTGTGTATATGGTGGGATTGGCAGGGAATCCTCTATTATGAGCTTTTTCTGGAAAACCAAACGATTCATTCCAACAAGTACTGCACTCGGTTAGACCAACTGAAAGCAGCTCTCAAACAGAAAATGCATAATCTTCCATTAGGATAACGCAAGAGCGCATGTTTCTTTGATGACCAGGCAAAAGCTGTTACAGCTTAGCTGGGAAGTTCCGATTCATCAACTGTATTCACCAGACTTTGCATCTTCGGATGCCCATTTATTTTGGTCTTTACAAAATTCTCTTCATGGAAAAATAAAATTACAATTCCTTGGAAGGCTGTAAAAGACATCTGCAACAGTCCTTTGCTCAGAAAGTTAAAAAGTTTTGGGAAGATGGAGTTATGAAGTTGCCTGAAAAATGGCAGAAAGTAGTGGAACGAAACAGCAAATATGTTGTTCAATAAAGTTCTTGGTGAAAAAGGAAACTGTATCTTTAATTTTTACTTAAAAACCAAAGGAAAAAAAAAAAAAACCAAAGGAACTTTTTGGCCAGCCCAGTTCATATGTATTTAAATGAAGAGTAACGAAGTAGGAGATGATATTACTGCATCCCATTTTCTGCACTTCTTATTTTGTTAAGAGGCTGATACATTTAAATCCTTTATTGTTTCAGCACATATGTGTGATCAATGAACACGGCAAAGAAAAATATCGAGTCTAAAGAAGTAAAATTTTACCATCGCCTCTCCAGATAACATCCTACTTACGACTACACTCAGGAAGCCAGCTTGTAAAATTTGTCTCCCAGGCATCTTCACTCAGCAGGACTTAAAATGGAAAAAAAAAAAATTTTAATGAATGAGCTTTCTTTCCTGAGATTATAACATAACATAAAGAGTCCCAGAGGTTTTTAAGGAAAAGAAAGCAGTGCTTTTATTTGACTTGTTCCAAATTAAACACTCCACCTTGTGACTCACAAGTTCAGTCTACCTTCACACCCCTGAGAAACTCCTTCTTTTGTTTTGATAAAGTCATTATGGTTGATTACTATACCCGCACCTACTTACTCAAATGTTTTTCAGTTAATTTTTTTTTTTTTAGTACTTCACTTTGGTGATATTTCATAGTCTTAAAACCTGGAGGCCTTTTCAGTGAACCTCTGAGCCCATATACTAGAAATGCAACTAGATTCCATACTAATAAAGGAGGAAAAGGACAATTTAATATAAATTTCAGTTTGCACACTTCTGACAGGCCCTTATTATCTGCTTTGACAAAGCCTCTCTGAACAGCAGTGTTCGATGCATCTTAATGATGTTATGAAATGGGCCTTTGCCCAGTGCTCTTGATTGGAGCTTCCGGTATGTGATAACGGTATGTCATGTATCCTTGGATTTACTCAACTGTGTTTAATACTCTGAATTTTAAATAGAAAAAACATAATGGCAGCAAGGACCCTGGTCTCTCAGCACCACTTGTTTATTCGTTTGAGACGTGAGCAAATAGCAAAATTGTGGGGGGAGGGGAAGGTATTTTCAGTGCTTGAAACTGGGCAAGTATAAATTGTTTTGTATTTCCGTCAGAGGGCCAGACACTATTATGTATTATCCTAAAGAAGAATACAGAGGCTGAATAATTTTTTTAAGTGGCTTTATGAGACTGATCACATAACCCAGTGCGCTACAGAAAACTAGGATACTTAAAAGTTTTTTCTGAATAACATTTTTTTCCATTTCCACTGTTTTATGGGAGGTTTTCTAATTTATGGGCATTTTAATTGAAAATAAACTTGAGTGCCAATAGAGCTGTTTTTTCCTCACTTCCTTAAAAGAGCAAATGCAAAATAAATAACTAAGCAGCCTTTGTTTGGTTCTGAACTGTATGTAGTGTATTGTTATCGGGTTCCAGCTTCCTTTAAAGTAATAAAGAATAAGAAAACTTGTTATGTCTCATAACTGCTTACTGTTTTTCTTCCGCCTTCGTATCTTTTATATACTTGTAGCCAGTAAACTGTGTGTGAGCCAGTAGCTTAAATATACGACTGCATACGTCTTCCCTGTGGCTTTATTTTTGTTAACCTGGAAAAAATCCAGTATATGCACCAATATAAGCAAACGATTAAGCCAGGCTTGATCTGCTGCTTTTTTTTCTCTCTCTCTTCTTAAGCTTGTTTGTAAGAACAAGGAATTTGAGTTGTAGAAAGAAGATTTTCCTGCATATCTTTGTTCCAGTCAGAGAAGAAAATAAACCACACCCAGCTATCCCAAGGGGCCAGCAGGCAGAGGGAATTCTTTCTAGCTTTGTTCTACAGAAGAATCAGTATCCAAGTTATAGGTTGAAAATTTGATCTAACTGGCCAGTTTCTTGAACTATCAGCATAAATCGTCTAAATATAATTTCCCACTATGCCACATTTATATCAGAGGACCTAGAAAAATCTAAAGACATTTGATATTAAATATAAAATTATCCAGAAAGTATGTATGATTGAAAGATTTTTCTTGAAAATGTTGAATTTTAGTAACCATCGGTATCATTTTTGAGGACTGTAGGTTTATTCAGATTAGAAAGGAAATAGATCTACTTCACAAGATTTCAAGAAGGAATTATGAGAGTTAATACTGAAAAAGAGAAATCCATTAAACATACAAGAAAGGTAATCATTCCTGAAATGTTTTCCAGTCAGACAACATTTTGACAGTGATATCCAAGAACATAATCTTGGGAAGAATATTATTTCCTTTTCTCTTGAAAACTCTAATCTGTTTAGTACCACTGAGTTTATTCAACCTAGACCAAAAATGTAAAAGCATATCATCTGATTAATAGCCAATGCATTTATTAATTTAGTGTCCCAAAGCTGAGTAATAAGGGGGAAAAAGTGTGTGGCATGTTTCCCTGGAAAAATTTGCATTTGGTTACAATCAGCATACTTACTAATACTTTGGGACCTTTCAAACAGATCAGAACCCCTTGTTATAAACTGGCCCTTATTGGACTGGAACATTTCGCATATTGAACCAGGTATCCCCAAGCTGAACTGTGTGAGGGTCAGATCCTAATGTGTCTTTTTGGGTTTTCTTAATTTATTTTTTTTATTGAAGGATAATTGCTTTACAGAATTTTGTTGTTTTTAACCTTTGGATATCTTTGGGTATCACTTGTTTTGCTGTGTCTCAGGCCTGCGGAGACTATGAACACAGCCACCTCCTCAGACTCCTGTGCCATGAACTTGGATCTGCCCAGCGGAGACAGAAGGTAACCCATCCCACTTCTGAAGACCTGCTGTCATGGAAATATCGCCCCATTTTTGTAAACGAGTTACTATGTTCTAGGAAATTGAAACCCTAAACCACACCCTCCACCCAGATGTCTGGCTAATTTGGGCAAAAAAATAGCATTTGGGAGTTTTGCTTACTTTACCATCATAAAGTTCCTTTGGGTCCCCTGATGACATCTGAAGCCTGGTGGGCCAGCGAGCTTCGTGAAGGGAAAAGAGGATCACAGGAGGGACTCTGGGAGTTGATGCTGGGAGGTGTACAGAGTAAGGAAGGAGGATGTGCTAAGGAGGGCTGCGTGGTCCGTGGCCCCAGTCATGCCCCATGAGTGGATCTGAACACTGTGGAGCAGAGAAAGACGCCCTCAGGAAGAGCTGTTTTCCTAGCAGTCTTCATGCTACACAGTGGGGCAACCGGGTGGGTCCCTGCATTTCACCAAGGATCCTGGTGCAGCTTTGCCACGGGGAGGAGTCCTAGGAAGACATCTCCCTTTGAAGACCCCAGGGATTTTGCTCTTGGAATGGGAAGAGTTGGGGGAGTTCTTGGGCTGGGAAGGGGGTTCACATCCAGGGTGCTTCATGAGATGTCCCCTCAAGAGACTTCGTGGGCCACAGGTGTCCACAGGGGGCCAGAGCACCCCCATGAGATGAGTGTTGATGACCATGTGTGAGAAAGCTCCGGGCGCCCCAAAAACAGCAATCACCTGAGTCATGCTGTTCCATGATGCTGGTGCCCTGGGTGAGGATGGCTGGCCCTGGGCCCGGGGCGGGGTGGGGGAAGGACGGGCTGAAATCCACCCACATTCACTTGTCCAGCCTCGGACTGTGTCAGGTTTCAGGTAAGTGTGTCTTAAAGGGGTATCTTTTACTAGTCTACCAGAAAAGAGTGCATTTTTTGTTTGTTTGTTTTAGCAATTTCTCATCCAGGAGTGCTGAGTGCTGGGCTTAGTTGCTCAGTCGTTTTTGACTCTTTGCAACCCAAAAGGCTGTAGCCTACCAGGCTCTTCTGTCCATTCCTAGAAGAATCCCATCTATTCTGGGATTCACCAGGCAAGAATACTGGAGTGGGTATCCATGCCCTCCAGGGGATCTTCCCAATCCAGGGATCGAGCCCAGGTCTCCTGTATTGTGGCGGATTCGTTACCATCTGAGCCACCAGGGAAGCCCAGGAATGCTGGAGTGGGTAACCGATCCCTTCTCCAGAGGATCCTCCTGATCCACGAATTGAACTAGGGTCTCCTGCATTGCAGGTGGATTCTTTACCAGCTGAGCTACCAGGGAAGCCTGAGGTGGCTTTTTCTGCCAGAGTGAGATTTACTCAGAAACAGGTAGGGAAAAAGACGGGGTGGGTGCTGGAGCACCGCATTTTCCAAGTGAGAGGAATAAGCCTGAAATATTGGTATGGTGACTTCATCCATATCCAGATCCTAGTGGGTGTGGACTAGTGAGTAAGCTATGAGTAAGGATGGTGAAGTGTAGGCAACTTGTTGAAGAAATCTGGCTCTGAAGAGACACCACAGCTAGAGGGCTTTTGAAAGGTGGAGCAGGCTTGTGGATCCCTGGGGGTCGTGTGGATAAGAATCCTCCTGCCAATGCAGGGGACACCACTTGGGTCCCTGGTCTGGGAAGATCCCACAAGCCACAGAGCAGCTAAGCCTGTCCAGTGCAGTGGTTAAAACTTCTCACTTCTGCCCCAGCCACTGAAGCCTGAGCCCTGGAGCCAGTGGTCTGCAACAGGAGAAGCATTGCAGTGAGAAGCCCTCGCTTGCTGCCACTAGAGAAAATCCACTCACAGCAGCAAAGACCCAGCACAGCCACACACACGCACAAGATGGAAGAGGCTTGTGTATCTTTATTTGCTATAGAGAACAAAAAAAATCAAGCAAAATAGTAGAGTGTATTCATTATCGACAGCTGTATAACAAATCACCCCAAAACTGAGTGGCTTAAACCAACAATAATTATTTATCTTGCATGCTTCCAAGAGCTAGGAGTGTGGAGAGAGCCCAGTAGGGATGGCTCGTTTCTGCTCCATGATGATGGTTGCATCTGCAAGAAGATGCAAAGGCTGAGGGCTAACCTGTCCGATGTGGCAGCCATTAGCCACGTGCAGTTACTTGAATTTAAATGAACTGAAGTTAAAATTTACTTTTCATTCACACTAATTACATTGTAGTTGCTCCATGGCCTCATATGGTAGTAAGCACAAACAGAAAATATCCATAATGCAGAAAGTTCTATGGGTAGCTGTGATCTGAAGGCCTGTCTGGTGGTTGATGTTGGCCTTTAGCCTGAACCTCAGCTAAGGCTGGAATTCTGTGTGGTGTCTCCATGTGGTTTGGACTTCCTCACAACATGGCAGCTGGGTTCCCTAGGCAAGTACAGAAACAGAAGCAGATGGATGCTGTATCGCTGCTTATGCGACAGGCTCGCTGCTATCACAT